ACAAAGAAGTGAATAGAAACATTGTGAAACATTCACACAACGGGGTATTACACAGCATTGAAAAACAATGAATTTGCAAAATACTACAAAACATAGATGAGTCTGGAAGATATTATACTGAATGAAATATCTCAGTCACAAAAGGCCAAGTACTTCATAAGCCCACTACCATAAAAAAAGATAATGGATTGGGGCAAGGGAGAACAGAGAGAAAAATGAATAGATAATGAATATGACACTGGAATAAGTGAAGGGAAGGGCTATCTGATAGGATTTGATTAGACATTATATGAATGACAATTCACAATTTGGAATAAGACATGCATTACTGAGTGCATTACATAGCAGGTAATTGCCATATAGACATGATGATCAAAATAAACAACCCAACAGTGCTATAAGAGATAAAATGATTCGAATTGAGAACTCAGAAGTAAATTCATCCACTTGTAGACAGCTTGACTTCCACAAAGGACTGAAATCCATGAAATGGAATAGGGTAGGGGAAGAAGATGGTTTCTTAAATGATGTTGGTTAAACTAGATAGTCATTTTTCCCCCCCTCTTTACCCTCATGGCAGACAGCAGCTGAAACCCTCTACAATAAAGACACTGGCAACAAGCATAATAGATATGGATCGTAATCCTGTCATTATCTTTCAGAGAGATGAAAAAAATAATCACCATCTTCATATGGAAAGAAAAACACAAGGGAAACAAAGCATATTGAAGAAGAAAAGGCAGGAGGGCTTACACTTATTATTCTATTTTAGAATATACTAAATCATGTTTCTGTATTCAGCTGGATCACTTTTCTTGGGGATGAGAACAAATATGAATCTCTTCCAGCCAGTTAGCCAGGTAGCCCCAAATTTTTTGGCCGTACTGATGAGTATTGGAACAGCCAGAAGTTCAAGCTGGATTTAGACAAGCTGTGGTGCCAGAGATGTCATTGCTGATGTCAGATGTATCTTGGCTGAAAGTAGAGAATACCAGAAGGATATGTTAGTCTGAAGACTAAGGTGCTCCTCATACAGGCCATGGTCTTTGCAATTACATGCTATGCATCAGAGAGCTGGACAATGGCTAAGGATGATAGAAGGAGGGTTGATGTCTTTGAGCTTTGGTGCTGGAGAAGAGTAATGAATATACCATGGACTTCTAAGAGAACAAACAAGTTCATCCTGGAGAGAGTGATTCCAGGCTGCTCCTTGGAGGCAAGGATTCTGAAGCTCTGTCTGACGTAATTTGGACATGTTGCGAGGTGGGATCAATCCTTGGAGGGGGATGTCATGCTTGGGAGGGTGGAGGGACAGTGCAGGAGAAGAAGACCCTTGATGAGATGGATTGATTCAGTCACTGGGGTAATGGGGATAGGTGTGTCAGACACAGTGAGATTGGCAATGGATAGATCCGGATTTAGGGCTGTTGTACATAGGGTCGCCATGAGTTGTAGGTGACTCAACAGCACATAACAAGCAACATCTATCTGTGTTGTATTTGCTATGCAAAGGCATCTGACAGTGTAGGTCACAACAAATTACGGCTAGCATTCAAAAGAATGGGAACCCCAGAACACTTAATTGAGTTCATGCAAAACCTATATCTAGACCAGGAAGATATTGTCCAAACAGAATAGGGAATACCGCATGGTTTAAAATCAAGAAAGTTGTATGTCAAAGATGTATCTTTATACTTATTTAGACTGAAAGCAGTGCAAATCATTTGAGAAGCTGAATTTCATAAAGAAGAATGTGGCATCAGAATCAAAGGAAGACTCATCAACAGCCTGTGTTATGCAGATGATACAACTTGGCTTGCTTAAAGTGAGAAAGTCCTGAGGCACTTATTGAGGATGATCAAAGACTATTGTTTGTTGTTGTTATGTGTTGTCAAGTAGAGCTCTGAACCTGGCTGTATCCTGAGTCAACCTTATTATCTCTGACAGACCTACCCCCATTACCACAGTGACTGAATCAATTCATCACATCAAGAGTCTTCCTCTCTTGTGCTATCCCTCCACCCTCTCAAACCTAATGTCCCTCTCCAAGGAAATGGTCCCACCTTGCAACATGACCAAAATATGTCAGACAGAGCTTCAGAATCCTTGCCTCCAAGAAACAGCCTGGTTTAACTCTTTCCAGGATAAACATCTTTGTTCTCCTAGCAGTCCATAGTATATTCAATACTTTTCTCCAGCACCACAGCTCAAAGGCATCAAATCTCCTTCTGACATCCCTAGTCAGTGTCTGTAGCTTTCAATATGGGCTACATCTCAACATCAAGAAAGCAAAATCCTCACCACCGGGTCAATAGGCAACATCGTGACAGGTGGAGAGAAGAGTGTAGTGGTTAACAATTTCAACTTGAATGCATTCACAATCAACAACCTTGGCAACAGCAGTTAAAAAAAAACCCCAAAAGACATAATGTGTTAGGAAAGTCTGTTGTCAAGGACCTTTTTTTTGAAGGTGCTGAGGAGCAGTGATGTCAGTTTGAAGACTAAAGTGCACATGATCCAAGTTGTGGTCTTTTACATTACTTCCCATGTCTCTGAAAGTTGGACACTGACTAATGATGGCAGAGAACAACATATGCCTTTGAGCTGTGGTATTGGAGATGAGTACTGGCTAGCCCATGGAAAGCCCAAAGAACAAGGAGGTGTTCTTGGAGAAGATGTAGCCAGAGTGCTCCTTGAAGGCAAAGGTGGTAAAACTTTATCTCACATACTTTGGCATGTTTTGAGGAGAGAGACACCAGTCCTTGGAAAAGGACATCATATTTAGAAGGTTGGAGGGTCAGTAAAAGAGAGGAAGACCTTCAGTAAGATGGATTGACCCAGTGGCTGAAGCAACAGATTCAAGTCTATCACGGACAGTGAGAATGGTGCAGGAAAGGGCAGTGTTCAGGCCTGCTGTTCATAAGGTTGAGTTGTGGTTAACTCAACAGCACCTAAAAACAACATCATGTGTAGAAAAGAGGAGGACCAGCAAAGGAGCGGAAAACACACAGGATGTGGACTGACACAGCCACTGCAACAATGAGTTAAAACATGCCAGAGTCTGTGAGGAGGACACAAGTTTGGGTAGCCTTTCATTCCGCTGTTCACAGAGTCACTGTGAGTCAACGCTACCTCAGAGGCACCTAACAACTACTATCTCTTTTTGTTTGTTTGATTAAACATTTTTAAATTTTTTTTTATTTTAATGAGTTTATAGAGACTTTGGATTTCTATTCATTCACTGTTACACACTTTCCTCCCTGTCCACCCACTCTCCCAACAGTTCGCTTTTCTCTTTGAAAAGTAGAAGAAAGATTCTTTCATTGTTATACAGCTGCCCTCCTCTCCTGGCCCCCAGTCCACTCCACTACGCAGCTTTCATTCTGGACTCTTCTCATGACAATAATACCTAATCACATATTCCTCCTAAACAGTTCTCTCCCTCATGTATTTCACTGCAGTATATATTATTTACCTCCTCTTCTTAGTTCCCTCCGAACCCCGATGTCAGTCCCATTTTACAACAGTGGCACTATGCAGTATTTGTCCTTTTTTGACTGAGATATTTCCCTCAGCGTAATGTCCTCCAGGACATTTTGTATAATATTTCATGAGTTCCTTGTTTTTCAATGCAGTGTGGTATTCTAGTGTGTGAATATACCTCAGCTTCTCTGTTTGTTGATGGGCATTTGGGTTGTTTCCAACTCTGCTATTATGAACAAAGCTGCAATAAACATGGGTGTGCATATATCTGCTTGGGTGGCAGTTCTAGTTTCTTTAGGGTATATTTCCAGTAAGAACAACTATCACCATGTAAAAGATATGTCCTACATCTATTTTGGTCTTTTGTCATGAGTGTTCAGTGCATATATCAAATTGATTCTTAAGACAATCTCTAAATTAAGGGAGGATTCTCACCACTGGACCAATTGGTAGCATCAGGATGGATGGTGAAGAGATTGAGATTGTACACAGCTTTAGTTTGCTTGGCTCCACAGTCAACACTCTT